CCAGCATGCATAGTCAATAACAAAACCACTACGGCTCATAGCTAAAAGTGTGTCATCAGCCTCCCGGACCTGTGAAGTTGAGCTAAGCAGAGACAAACTCTCCTTTTACCTCTGCTTCCCATTTTACTACAACCATGGCTCATAGCTAAAAATGTGTCATCAGCCTCCCGGACCTATGAAGTTGAGCTAAGCGGAGACAAACTCTCTTTTTACCTCTGCTTCCCATTTTACTACAACCAGTGAAACACCATGGCCCCTCTAATGGCAGAAGTTTACCAAAACTCGGGTCTCGGTAGTTTACCAAATCTACCAAAACAAGGGGAGAAACATTTCTGCCCTCAGAACAACCTCCGTGGGAAAAATAAACAAACCTTGACAGAGCCGCACAGGCATTTCACCAGTCGCTGGATCCTACATTTCTCAACTCAGAAAAGTGCACATTTTTAGCTCTGCTGTGTCCAAGATACTAACCCTGATGATATTTGAACTAATACAACAATGGGCAAAGTCATAACACTCTAAAAAACCCTTCCCCCAGGGAGGTACTGAAAGCCCCTGGAGGCGGGGAAGAGGGAGCAGACAAGCCTGCAAACTTCTCCTCCTGGTGAGCAATATCTAACAAGGAGGACATTTGGGTGATGCACAATCATCATTGTGGGTCCTGCTTCTCTCCTGCTCTACAGTCCAAGGACTTATCTTGAGAAACATCAAAGCACGCAAGGCCCAAAAGAAGAGCAGCAACTCATTCTTTTGTTTTCCTTTAAACCTTGCAAAGGACAGACATTGAAAGCTGACCTACTGACTCTATGAAAACATTTGCAGTTCTGTCTTGGAATTAAGCTAAGAAAAATCATTCATGTAATGAACACAGACAGACCTCAGGTGATGTAGCTTAGGAGGGATTTTTTTTTTTTTAGAAGAGATTAAAGTTTTCTTAAGACTTTCACACATTTTTGTGGGCTTACTCCAAACCCCCACACCTGCTTTGGTAACATCACTTGCACTTCAGAGGACAAGATGTGTTAGTGTTGGGGGCAGCTGGGCGAGGGGACATACAGTGGCTGGATAGCCAGAGCCTGCTGGAAGTTGCTACGACTCCTCTAGACTATAGGAAAGAGATGGCAGGATGTGAAGTCAAAGCTGACAAAAGATGTGCAATATATTGTATATGGCTGATGTCGGGCACTAAAGGCTTTCATTCTCACAGTAGTGGAAGAATAACAGCCACCACCTTCATTTTGATGGTGAGATTGGATAGACAAGATGAAGAAGCTGCATAGATACTACAGGAATAAATATAACACTAAATGCAGGGGAAATCTCTGTGTGTGTCTGTGGGTGGGTGGATGTGTGCTTGTGCATCTACAAACATATGTCAAGTGAGCTGTTCATGTACTGCAACTTCTCAGGCTGGAGTAAGTAGATGTGGCAATAGACCGTGAGGGAACTGCATCCATGATATCATTTGCTGTCTGTGAAAAGGTGTTTTAAATTTGCACTGTCACTCAGCAGCTAATGTATGATATCCACAGTAGACAGTAAATGATGTCTTTGATTTTTTTATTTGGTATAATAATTTTGGAGTAAACAACCATTTGTTCCTCTTCTTTTTCCAGTGTAAAGATAATCACAGACTTATCGATAAAGGAGAAAGTTCTCAAGTGGCTCAGGCAGGTGCAGCTTGTGGACTGCATATAGGCACGACCGACCCAGATGCTTTCTGATACACAGCCGGCACAGCTGGGCAAGGCTGGCAGGACCTGGAGAAAAAAAAAGGCAAGAACAAGCACCCCCAACCCCACCACCAGTATAAGTCAGCAAGCAACAAACACCAGTAAGATTTGCAAATCAGGTCAAGCACTACACAAGACTTGCCAAAGTCAGGGAGAGGTAAATACATTATTGTTCATATTTAATTTATGTTGTCAAAGTTGGTCCAGTGATTTTAAAACTATGAGCACTAAATACCTTTTTCTGCATGCATGGCTAGGCTTTTCTGCATCTTTTCCTGAGCAAATACTTAAAATACCATACACTAGAGAGAGCGCACCGGTATGCATAGCCCTTGCTCAGGGTGTAAGACAACTCCCAGCAGTGTTGTGAGGATAAAGACAGGAGGGAGTACAGGGAGCTGCAGAGGTGCTCAGTGTAGACCAGCCATAACAGGGTGGATATGGCAAATACAGCTGGTTGTTCATATATACAGAACGTGCTTCTGTACCAGCGTTCCAACCACTGGTGTCTCAGCAGCTACCTGCACAAGTCATAACTGCAACTTAGCCTTTTTACATGACCACACTGTCTCTGAATATTTATGTATGTCAGTCAGTCTACCAGGGCTCCTCAAAATAATTTCTTAACGTGTCATCCAATTTTAATTAAGTTTGACAGAAAGGAAAACATCAGGAATATGGAAAGTCTACAAAAGTTTCGTGTAAAAAGGCACCACAGGTAAAAATAATTTAAAAACAAACAAACAAAAAAAGAATAATAATAAAAAAAAAAGAGGCCTTTTTGCCCTTCCCTTGCCTTGGGGGAAAAGTTGATGCATGTGAAAAACTCTTGTTAAAGGCCAGAGAGTCCACTGGTAGGAAAGCTGCCAGAGGGCTCATCAGGACGATGGTGAAGCCGGCTTGGGCAGTGGCTTGCATGTCACTGCACACTGCAGTGCTGCCCCGATGTCTTCTCCATAGGGTGACCAGGTAGGTGCTGCCAGTCCACCCTGCCGTGGGTCAGGTGAGAGGCACACCGGGCACAAACCCACTGGAAAAGAATCTCTCTTGCTTCTGCAATTGCATGCTTGCACATGCAAATGCAACTTGCTAGTGAACACGTCCCTGCCACCTTTGCGCTTTCCTCCTGCTGGAGTTGCTCCAGGTTGAACCTTTACGCCTGCTCCGAGGTGCTCAGCTTCCAAGCCTTGGCTCAGCCTTGTCTCTCCAGTTTCAGTAGCAATCACAGCAGTGTTTGGCAAGCAATGAGTAGAGATGTGTGCTTAAAAGCCTGTCCTTGTATTTTCCAGGTAAGCTTCATAATCTGTGCTTTTACTACAGGAAAATTTAGGAGCCTAAAGAGGCCGATAATGGTCCTCTGAGAATAAATTAATAGAAAAATATGGGATATATAGAAAAATATGGGATATATAGAAAAGAGCACTTGCACTGCTGTTGCTGGAAGTGAAGAAAGAAGCTACCATCTCCCAAAGCAGTTAGAAAAACAGAAACATTTTATATTTCACATCACTTAATAGCTAGGAAGAGGAGCAGTTAAAGGGAGCCATCTAAGTAACCACAGCAGGAAAGTCAAGGAGTATAAAGAAAACTTGTCAAGACAGCTCCCCGTGGTGCTTATTTCAAACAGAAGGACCTCAGAAAACACAGAAGTAGTAGGTGAAAAGGGCAGCTGTAGATGCTAGATACAGCAAAGTATGTGAAAGCAGGGCCAAAGGGAAAGGTGAGGAAACTGAGGAAACTTAATTTCTGAAAAGTGAAGAGCCAGCAGGAGCTGAAGTGCCCTATAGTCCCACTGACTGTAAGGGAGGAGAGGACGGCGAGTTGAAAGTGAAAATCAAAAAGAAGATTCAGAAAGAGAAAATTATTAATATCGGAATATTTCTTTATCCACACAAACTCTCTATCACACAGGGCAACTGGAGCAGGACAGCTGCAAGCACTGCCTTTGCTCACGCAGCCTGACATTGCTGAACATCTCAGGTACGGGGCCAGAAGTCACAAGAGGTGAGAAGCACTAAAGCAACAGTCCTCCCAGAAGGTTTTAGACATGACAAATTAAAGCTCTGCATGAAAAGCCATGCAGAAAGGGAGCAGGACAGGAGGATATTAAGGCAATGTTTCATTTCCTCTATAAAACCGACCTGTGTGTGGAGGGTCGGCACAAAGCCTATGCACAACATTGACAATATTAATGTACCCTCCAAGAGCTATTTTGCAGCTGGAAGAGGCCTCTCCGTGCACATCGTGCTTTGCTGCTCGGCGGGGAGCGAGCAGGCTCGGGAAGATGGGCAGGCTGCCGGCATGGAGGAGCAGCACTCACCCCCTGTGCAAGCAAAGCCCCAGGGTCATAGATCAGCTAACAGGGCACTAGTGAGTTGGGAAACACGGAGGTTAGAGACGAGGGGGAATTTAATCCAGCACATCCGCGCTGCAGGGATATTGTTATTGGATCCATCAAGTTCTGGCTGCATGTGGTGCAGGTGGAAATGGCACAAGAAGATCTAGGTTCATTTCTGCTCAGAAGTTTCTTCCAGTAGACTGGAAAGATAATCTGAAATATCATAGAGAGGCGGAAAGTAAACTGCAAAGGACACTGCTGCTTTGTGCTGTGGTTGCAGCCCCACGAACCGCTTGGAAGAGCTGCGTGCTGTGAAGCTGAATAGCCACCTGGCAAATAGATCCGCGCTCTCCTGGTGACCGAGGGCACACACACTCATGTCACTTTTTCTGCAGGAAGCAGGACATTGAGCCATGGTGCAAGCTTGAACACAAGATGGTGGTACTAAAATACTATCAATTAATAAACTCTCATGGTAGTTTTTAATCCTTAGTCTTCAGAGTCCAGATAAATAAGTATAAGTATAAATAAGTAGGTAAATAAGTATAATTTTCTTTCAGTAGATGGGAATAAAAGCACAGGACATCTAACAACTGACCAATTTACCTGCTAGACCCCTAACACTTGGTGGCAGATCTAGCAAAAAAAGAGATCTCTCATTCATTTGTGTCCTGTGTTGCAGGCTTGAAATTGGTAGAGAAGCTAAGAGAAGTCATACAGAGCATTACTTTTAAAAGCAGTTAAGAAAAAGTACTTAGCTAAAGGAAATAAATACTGTTCTACTTTAAAAAGAGAAGAAACAAGAAAACTACCTTCTCGCAGCAGAAGCGCCTGCTCCACTTTGCTGTTGGGTACGGCAAGATCCAGGGCACATTTGAGTTCAGCATTTCTGCATTTCAGGTTAGCACCATAGTCTGTCAGCAAGATGACTACCTCCGCGCTGGATTTCCTTGCTGCTGCGTGGAGGGGGGTGTCTAACCGCTTCCCCCTGTTAACGTTGGCTCCTTGCGCAAACAAGAGTGCACGGTTAGATCTGGGAGTTGGCAGGAACTGTGTGAACCCACATCACGCAGGCTGGTTTCCACCAGTAGCCTCAATAGATGAAGGGGAGGGATGGCACACAGGCCTCCCTCGTTTCTCTCAATAGCAGCAGTGCAAAACTCAGCAGGTCAAACACCAGCTGTATAAACGTCCTCTGAGCCACCAAACCCTGTCTGCGATCGACAGAACCGAGCAGCTTGACCTTTAGTCCAAGAGATGTTCAAAGCCTACTATATGCTCTGTAAATTTGTTAATAACATAAAATATAAAATATATTATGTTAATTTATTTACCAGGGGGAAAAAGATCATTTAGGTATCTCAGTGTAATAGCTCCAAGAGCACAGCAAGCAAAATGCTTGCCCTGGGCTTGCCAGGCACAGCAGGGCCACACTTCTAGCAGGTGTAAGTCAGCTAATGTACAGTGACAGCAAAAGTTTATGCTAGCTCATAGGCGGTGCCTGGACCTGCAGTGATTATTCTTTCGAGCAGCTTTACTGCTGTCTTTATCAGCCACTGAGAAGCAGATGAAGTTAATGCTTAGCATGTCAGTTTATCAAAATCAGGATTTGATTTTGGTCACTAATATTAGACAGCATTGACTGTGCTTCCTGTTATCATTCTACAAAACAAAAAGTATTTTATTTTCACATTCAGACAGTCTCAGGGCTGTCTCTGTAATTAGGAAATCATAAATTCTTCATGAATGCAGGTGAAATTTTTAATAGCCTCAAATGAGTTTCTCAGACTCCAGCTGCCCAAACACCTCTTGTGGAAATAACCTATGGTGTTTGCAGGTGGGAGGAAGCCCAGACAAACCAGCAGTGCTGGCTCACACTACCACAGCTCTCCCCCAGCCCCTTTTCCAGATATACCTAGCTCCAAAAGCTTCTTGACGCAGTCTGTCCTCTGGTATGTGCAAGCCACATAGAGCGGGGTCCCATGCTGCAAGTCTTCTTGGTCAATGTCAACCTCGTGAGCCAGAAGGATCTCCATGCACTCCCTGTGGCCTGTGAGGTGAAGAAGAGACATCACTTAAGTGCCACAAGAGCAGAATACACCCAGGTACAACCGGTGGAGCACAAGAGCTGCGAATAAGCCAAGCCTATTATTTATCCGTACCAGTACAGACAAGTTTTTTGGGAAAAAACTATTTTAAGGTCAATAGAAAATGTATTCCTCATTTAGCTTCACTCACTGCCCAAACATTACCTCTCTTGACTGCTTCGTGAATGGGTGAAGCAAGGTGGTTCCTGAGCTGCGGCTTGGCTCCGAATTCGAGCAGCATGTTGACACAGGCCACGCTGCCACTGCAGCAGGCGTTAAACAGAGGAGTGATCCCGTCGATGGTGGCTGCGTTGACCTGAAACAGCAGGACACGCTCAGGATAATCCAATCTAAGAGGAATGCCCTTGCAGTGTGCCTCATGTGCACACCAGAAACGCACCAGAAAAAGGCACTTGCTTTGTTTGATATCAGAATTGATTTTGTTAACAACTTTCAGAGTTCTATGTCATGGCACAACATATATAACATTGTCCTCTGAGTTCTGCCCTCTTTCCCGGACGGCTAGTGCCATAAGGCATCAACACTGCCCGCGATGAATGCTCCTCCTAGAGTCGCTCAGAAAATGCAGGTGTTTTTTTTTTTTAATGGGAGAACTTGAGTATCTTCATGACTAATTTGCACCAACCCAAAGCCAGAATACACTCAGATGAAAATGGTTTTGTTTTTTAAATGAAAACATTTACTTCATGTTTAATACTTTCACCTGAAAACACATTTCTAGCAAAGAAATTTTGTCAGAAACATATTCCTAATCCTGAACAGAAAAAGAGTTTGAGAGGTTTTGTGTCCATATGCATTGTGTGTATATGTAAGAGAGAAAGATTGTCCTTCCTTCACCTCAGATGTAGAGACCTGCCAAGAACCACCATCTGTCATTCTCCACCGGGACAGCACAGTCCCCGCCATGTGTTGTGCACAGCGCCGTAGGTGCCGTGTTTAACTACACAGCAAGCCCTTGGAGGCAATTTATGCAGCAAATCTGCATGTCTTTAATTCTGTGGCACACTGGAGAAGGCCAATGGATTATACAAGCATGTGGCAATTTCTGCAGTTTCCAAATCAGGGAGGAGAGGAAGGAGACAAGAGAGGAAGGGCTGGAGGAGTCCTGGGCCACCGGGGAAGTCAGAGGACTTTGTTACCAGTGCAAACACAGGAGCTGCATCGCCAAAGGGTTGGAGCACCAGGATAGAAATACCTTAGCCCACACAATTTAAGTAACAAAGTATTTCGCCTTTAAAGCGGAGAAAGGCAGTGATGTTTAAGAACCTATTGATTTATTGTGGGTAATTCAGCAGCAGATAATCTGTAGTTGATAGTTTCCTAGACATCATTTGTCCTTGTTCATTTCAACTACTGACTTGTTTCTGATGCCATATAAGCTAAATCCTTTTCTCACAAGGCGCTTTTCCCACAATTACAAGCCAGTCCTTGCCATTTCCAGTGTTTCAGTCCTTGCCATCTTCAGCAAGCTCCAACCACTGTGAGACCATGCTACTCTACGTGAAGCTGCACTTGCAGATGAGGCAGGCACGCTGGAGGAGGCAGCCCCTGCTCCCTGGTGCCTCTTCTGCTTTCTCACCTTCATGGAAAACCACTGGGGGAACAGACCTGGCTGGAAAATAATCATGAGAGGTGGGCAAGCTGGTGTGATATGGGGAGATATCAGGTACCAATGCATGGGGGACATCTTTCTGCTCAGATTTTGGAGCTCAAAATGAAGCTTGCTCTTCCTGAAATTGCAGGGCTCTGACCAAGACTCTGTTTCAACAGCATCATCACTACAGATCCTGTCCTCTTCCTCGATCTTCTTCCCCTTCTGCTAATTGCTGAACTCAACTATACCCATCCTGCACAGCTTATAAAACAGAAAAATATAACAAAAAAAAAAAAAAAAAAAAAAAAGAAATAGATATACTTTGGGGATATCTGTATTTCTGACAGATTACATGCTGCAGCCCTGCAGCCCAGCACTTCCCCCGCCTCGTCCCCAGTCTCATCGGGCAGATGTGGCTGGAGCTGCTGGAGGCACTGCGGGTCTATCAGCATCGTTTCACACAGGGCCAGCGATTCAGGCAAGCTGGTAACCGAGAGTAGTCAAGGAGATCATTGAAGCAGAAAAATGACTTCTTTGGTTTCCCTCTCTACTGGGCATTGGTTTAACTGGTAAAAGAGGAAAGAATGGTAAGACAGATGTCGTGGAGTAAATGTTTTGGTAAAAAAAAGGAAATAAAGAAGAGCAGAGCAATAAAGAAGAGCAGTAGGATGGCACAATTTCTCCCAGAATTTAGACAACTAACTGTTGACTTTATTTATGAACGGAGAGCGGGGGAAAAGCCAAGACCAAAAAACACCAGAGCTATATATTATACCAGGAATAGGCTGATTTCTTAGGAAAGCAACAGGTAGTTCAGAGGCGATTCTCTGAGTTATAAAAAGTCAGTGCCATTAATATATCAAAATCAAATAAAACTGAGCACGAAGGGGTTTTCGTTTCATCTTTCTAAGGGATTGAAATTTTGCATACAGTTTAGGAAGCAAACAAATGCATTTTGCTCTTCAGAGGATAGCTTGATTGCCTGGTTTTGCGTTGCTCAGTTTCTTGCCATATAAATTGTACTTGAAAACCCAGCTGAATGAAATATATTCTTATATATTTCATCCATTCCTGTATCTCCATTTTTAACATGTATTCTACCTGAGGCCCAGCTGCGGGGAATGTTATTTTATTAGCAGATAAAATGTTTCATTGCTTTAAGCACATCTATTTTTGCTTACATGAGACTCCCAAACCACCCCACAGAAAAACCTCAGGCAATTCCAGTGATGGTTATGGGGGGAAAAAAGGGATAAGTCATTTTGCTCAAGGTTATTTTCACCTAGCACCTCTCATTCCTTTTCCATCAATCACGACTGCATTTCGCTTACAGAGAGGAAGCAAAAGAGAATAATGGCGTCACCCAAGCAACCGCCGGAGGAGGGCAACTCCACCACCCGCGGAAACAAAGCACCGTTTTGTTTTTCCCCGTTTCTGCCCGAGATGC